AGCTGCAGCTATTATTTGTAGCACATTGTTTAGATAGCATATCGAATTATGATAACTGGTGTGTATATACATGACATAGCACACAGACACACATCTCGTAGGCTTTGTATCCATTCTGATGACTGTTGGTTTGCCCATTTTGATGAGCAATCTCTTTATTACTAAAGAACCAGCTTCTGTGGAAACAATTACATGTCCTCAACACTTCTGTTTTAGCCCAGGCACAATCATGCTAGTGGATTATTTTAATATTTCTCCCCCATTCTGAACCCACAGGCACTTTCTTCCTTTTACTCTTAGCTGTTGTGCCATTATTGTCTCTACCTCTACCAGTGTCATACTGTTCTCTAGTTCATTAGAATATTCTTCCTGTTGAATTTTACAAGCATATATATGGTTACTAGATAGTAACGAAAACCCACTTTTTAAATGTAGAGTATGTTTCCCTGAGTGTGGGCACCAAGACTTCATTATTTTCTGTAAAATACTTGTGATGTTGTTTGTAATAGGCATGTCCCAAGCTAAGAGAAGACGTTTTATACATACATAAAAGCTGGCAAACACATCTTTTTTGACCCTTTCTGTCCTTACCTGGGACAATTGTTTTTTCCCTCCACATTCTGATTCCATGAAACTTCCAAGACTGTAACCTCACTTAATCAGTTTATATGAGAATAAGGATACTGTCTCTTCCACCCATTCTCACTCTCAAAGAGCACTGTACTCAATCCTTCCCATGATCCAGCTTCTCACTTCTCCTTGCTCAGTTTATTCCAATTCAAGCAATTTCATGTTTTAGATGTACACATTCTTTTTTTAGATTTATTTATTTATTTATTTTTTATTATTGTTCAAGTACAGTTGCCTCTACTTTCATCCCACCCCACCCATCCCTGCCTCCTACCCTTGATCCTACCTCCTTTGTCCATATGTCCTTTATAGATGTTCCTCGACAGTCCTTATTCTATTTTACCCCATTATCTCTCTCTCCCCTCCCCTCTGGTTGCTGTCAGTTTGTTCTTCATTTCAGTGTTTCTGGTTATATTTTGCTTGCTTGTCTGTTTTGTTGATTGGGTTTCACCTATAGATGAGATAATATTGTATTTGTCTTTCACCCCCTGGCTTATTTCACTTGGCATAAGGTTCTCCAGTTCCATCCACAAAAGGAAAAGTTGGAAGGGTTGAAAGAATGTAGATGTACAATCTTTCTTAATCACCTGGGATAAAAGGAATCAATTTCAAAAGTTTTTAAACATACCCCAAAATTTCTACACACACTTCTTCATCTTGTGTCTTATCCTCATGTATCAACATAAAGATGAGAGTGTAAATAAATTACCACCAATACTTCAATGAAGTTGTTAACAAAAATGAATACCCATTAAAATGATACAGTTCTACCAAGTTGGTTTAAAAACCTGTATTATAAAATTCTGTCAGGTGACTAGTAATATTTTGACACTTTTGGTAATCTGGAAAAGGCTGAGATCCTTGTGTTTGGGGCTTAGCTTTACCACTGTGGCCTGAGGCAGCGCAAAACTCACTCCCTCTGAGTCCTTCTTCTCTCACGTGGGAAGCAGGTAGCAGCAGCTTGCAGCAGAAAAAGGACAGCCATTCATATGGATGTTTTTAAAGAAAACCAGCATCTGTACTTTTTATTTCAGAGGGTTGATATAAAAAATTAAAAATATATTTGATACAAGTGACACAAAATATAATGGACTATACAAAGTAATATTGATTTTATAGGTTGAGAGAAAAATAGCCTTTTGTGGATTGACTGACCTTTGCCAAACCATTCTTACTCTACCTCAGGGTCATCTTCTTAATACACACAATTTATCATGTGACTCAGCTACTTACTACCTGTCAATGACTCTTCTTCGTTAACAGAATAAAGTTCATACTCTTGATAGCCTCATAATTCCCACTGACCCCTCAATTAATACACCCTGTGATACATATCCAGCAAGAAATACTTGGAACTCCTTAAATCATACCACACATGTTCAACTTCTAGGCCTTTGCTAAATCTGATTCCTTCTGCCTGCTTTTCTTTTGACACTTTGTCAATCTTGATAAATCCTATTTATTCTTATTCCCAGCTTAAGTGTTATCACTATTTAAAAAGCTTTCCTAAAGTTGTTTGCACATCTCAAATGTACTTCTATTTATAGCTTTTATAACATTGTGTCAATCATAAATACAGTTTGATAACTGTCCCCAGGTACTAGAAATCAATGCTAATTTCTTATTTATTATTTTAACCCAAGGGCATAACAGTATATATTAAGTAGAGGCCTTATGGTCAGTCATAATAAGTAAGAGTACAGGCTCTGGAATCAGACAGTCTTGGTTTCCAATCTTGGCTTCATCACTTATTCGTTGTACTACTTCAGATGTTCACTTAACCTCTCTAAGACTCTATTTCCTTGCAGACAAAGTGGGAGTAATTCTAGATAAAGGTGCTGTGATAATTAATATCTTGGACTAGGTGCACAGAGATATTAGCTATCCTAATGATGATGGTAATAGTCCTAATGATGATGGTAATAATCATAATGATGATGATGATGAGGGTACTCAATAAGTATTTGTTTAGTAAAAAGATGATTAATGAAATCAATTCACTACTAATAAAAATTGTTTTTGTGGAAACAAATTCTAAATGATTTGTTCTGAACCAACTCTTGGAACATAGTACATTTAGTGAGAAATGGTTATTACCATATTTATTTGGCAGGTCTCTGAGGGAGCTGATTTTATGAAGATAATGAAGATGATAGTAATGATGACAAAAAGAAAACACCTTTTATTCCTCTAGCAGTAGGCATCCTCTGTAATGAACGTCCTGATCAATTATTTCTTATTGATTTAATACTAACCTTAAAGAAAGACAGGAAAAGTAAGGAACCTCTGGGGGAACTAAAAAATCAATAAGAGTTGAAAATACAATATTTTCAGTTTAATTCAATTCTAAAATGTCATATTTAATATACTTACTGAAAAAACATCAAAAATCTAACAGTAAATTAATAAAAAGTGAAAATGATGAAAATCAATGTTTGAACAGCTTTAAGGGGGCATCATAAACTTCTGCTGGTGAATATCAGAACAAGTGAATATATAACTTCCTATAAGTAAAAATGGATTTAAGTTAAAAAGAAGAGGATTTAAGTTAAAAAGGGAGAGATTTAGGTTTAAAGAACTTGAAAAAATATTTCAATTACAAACTGTGTTTTTTGTGAAAAGAAATTTCAGGCTAAAAGGTCCTGAAGCATTTTTTCCAGGGAAAACATTTTCTGCCTTTCAGCTGGCTATTGACTTAGGCAGCAAGAGAAAAGATGTGTTTCTAACCAAAATCATTAAATACATGATAAAAGCTGTTTGACTACTAAAGATATAATTGGGAAAATTATTGATGTTAATGATGGCAATCACAACAGTTGAGAAATACCCAACAAAAAACAACCCTACTTACTAAGTGCCATTGGACAATTTGTAATGATTAGCAGAGAAGCACGCTAATATGTTTAATGCAATATTTTGAAGGTCACTCAGCTATCAGCTTGCCATAATACCATTCAATTACATATACAATAAAAATCCAAGATTACTTGTGGAAAAAATTTTGTAGTGCTTGTCAAACAGTATATTATCAACTCTGGCTGTGTGTATAAGCAGAAAGGCCTGATTTAATGCAACATTAAGCAACTGTAGCTTTGTTCTACTTTTTTATTTTTGTTCTACATTTTTTAAACATTACACTAATTATAATGAGATGTGGTCTTACAACCTATTGCATATTTAATCTTTCTAAAGAGCTTATCTAATTGATTCACAAGATACAACTTACCTATACTATTAGCAAAAACACATGATATATATACATACATATATAATCAGTGTATAATATCCTGGCTTAATTAGAAAATGCCCATGTTATCTTAAATACATTGAAGAATAAAAAACCACATGAGTTCAAATGGCATTTGAAATTTCCATTTAATTATATTTTAAAACTAATTTATGTGGCTTGAATGTTTTTTCTTTTCTTCTCTTCTACACAGAATGTTGTTCTACTAACCAAGTTTAAACTAGATTCTTTTAAAAAGGAAAATCGGATAAAGATTGAGTGATGTTGAAGAAAGGAGGAATGGTGGTGGTGGTGTTGAAGGCCACAGACAGGAAATCACTTAAATTTGATTATCAGATGGTGTTATGTTCACCAAGTCAATGGCTAAATTGCACCCTAGAAAGACTTTTTTTTAACATTCTTGTTCTGGGCTCTAGCCTAAAGTTCTATAAATAAGACCTATGTTCCCACAAAAGAGTGCATTTTCAAAATCCTCCTCTCTCTCTCTATGTCTCTCTCAGCCCCCAGGGTATGCAACAGTGAACCTCAAATATCTTAATATTATTCTCAAATTTAGTAATCATGTACTAAAGAAAGCATCTGAGCACAACATTTAGCAGTGGAGCCTGGATGCCCTGAACTCTTGGTTCTTTGTGATTCTGCTCTTTGCAACTTGGTTTTTCAGCTTAAGTTCAAGGGTAGTCTTTAATACTCATAAAAAAAGACAAATAGAATAATCAAAAATACATAATGAAGGCCTTGACCAGGTAGAACTGGTTAGAATTGGTTAGAACATTGTCCTGATACTCAAAAGTTGTGGGTTTGATCCCCAGTCAGGGCACATAGAAGCAAGCAATGAATGCATAAATAAGTGGAACAAGAAATAGATGTCTCTTGCTCTCTCTCTCTTACCCAGATCAGTACACACACACACACACACACACACACACACACACACACATTCAAGCATAGTTTTCACATGGGAAATTCAAATTTATTGTTTAATTAACTGAGCTTTTTTATCAATATAATGGAATCAAACAGTATAATGTAAAACAACTAAATTTCTGGACAAGAAAAGAACAATCACATTAAAATTCAATCTCACAATAAAAATCCAAAAGAAATAATAAAGATTGTTTACCTTCACAAATTGTGATGCCATTTCCTGAAAATCCCATGTTGCAGTAACAAGCTTCAACTCCATTCCGTATTTCACATTTTGCATTTGGAAGACAAAGTGTCTTGGTGCAATTTTGAGTGTAAGAAGAATTCAACAAAGTGGAAAAACCCACTAAAGAAAATAGAAAAATACATCTTTTCAGAAAGAAAAAGTTCCCCCACTGCTGAGTTAGATCACAGTAAATACAAATAGATTTATTTCTTTTTATGCAGATTACAAGAATTTTCCAAGGGGTCATTTAGTTACAAACATCGGAAAATCAAGTGGCAAAAAGGCACTATTGAGTCTCAATGTTTATCAGGTAAATTTCAACAAAGTCAAAATGTAACAATCCAACTTTACAAAGAAAACAGCATTCCTAGTTCATTGGGCCATAGTATCACCCTTATACAGAAGTGAAATACTTTTAAAGGTAATTGATGATTGTAAAGCAATATTCCACTCTAGGAATGATTAAGTGCTGGAATCACAGTAAATTAAGTCTTTTAAAATTCAAATCTGTGTTATTTTAAGATGAAGAGCAGCACATCATAACAACCAGAAGGACAAATGCAATTACAATTTTTTCTGTATTTTTAAATTCTGCCTTTTCTATGAAAAATTGTTTTATATTTTCTCCCATTAGGGGAAATCAAAATAAAACTCAACATACTGGTTAAAGATTCATCTTCCAGAAATGGAGCAGCACACAAACATGGACAATAAAATGCAGCAAGACCTATTTCCGAGTCATTAAAAACAAAGTTGGAAATGTGGGCTTTTTGGAAAAAATAAGGAAAAGGAAAGGACTTTTTTTTATTGTTGTCTAAGGTGTTCTCAAGACAAGCCCTCCTGGGGATGAACAGTCATGGACCATGCAAGGTCTCTGAATATTTATAATCATCTCAGATAAATAGTCCTTACTAGTAACAAGAGATTCTTAAACATTTGCTTCTAAATCCCAGCCTAGCACAGGGCTGTATATACTGTCTAAACCATAATTAATTTGCCTTCAAGGTGTGATTTATTTTCTTTCTGCATAGCATCATCAAAATGGTATTTTAAAAGAACCCAAAGTCTGGGCTGGCAGTCCTTTTATAATGCCAAGAAACCTCCCACAAGTGTTAATGGTTTGGATTTTCTCAAATTTCTTGAGTAGGGAGGACTCAGAAGAAAGGTCAAAGTCTGAGACTTTGGGGATTCGGGGCATTTTGTCAGCAGGAAAAAAAAGGTGACAGTCCCTAGGCCCTGAATATCGAACGCTGTAGAGTTGAAAGGCCAAGGAGAAAAACATCCTGAGAAGCTGCGTCAAAGCTCCTTGGAGACTTGGCGATTTGCACTTGGCGAGTGAGTTCCACATTGGGAAAATCCGATTCCCTGCAAGTAGTCAGCTCCCCAGCAACTTTCGGTGACCAGGGGCGCTGGGCACTCACCTAGGAGCAGGAGGAGTTTCATTGGCGGCGGCCGCGGTGCTAGCAAGGCGGGAGTGGAACTAGGTGTTCGACGGTGTCCGGGGGACGCGACGCGGCCTGGCGGGTTCGGGAGAGTCTGGGCTCCGTCCCCAATGACGCGGAGGCTTCCTCCGGACACTTTCCGGTCTCTTTTGTGTGAGTGTGTATGTCAAGCCTTGAGTCTGCCGGCCACGTCCGGCCCTGACCCCTTCCCCCACGCTGACCTGACTTCATTCCCTGTCTCTTGGCTGTCAGGGTCAGCACTTTTGCAGACCCTATTCCGGATCATTTTGCCCCTAGCTGCAGCGACCAGAGAGCCCTCACCCCAACCCAAGGCCTGTGATCAACAACCAAAGCGGTTCGGAGACCCATGCAGTGTTCACCTGAGAAAGCATCCAGAACTGAACAGGTCTTAGGTGTCCTTCTTACAGCCTAAGTTTCAGGATACTGCATTATTTTATCCACTAATGAATTTCCATAAAAACTGTGGGCTAAGAAGCAGTCAGGAGCCCTGACTCCAAACAATGGGGCACTCATGGCCAGTATTCAGTCCTCACCTTGTGGGGGCTCAGGGTTCCAGAGTATAAAATAAGGATATCCTCAGACATGCCTAGAGATTAGGATTGTGCCCAAAATGGCTGGGTAAAACAAGCAGAAAAGCCAGCTTTCAAGAATTAAAAGGCTTTGGCATTACAAAATGTTGTTTTTTCATTTTCAATGAAAATTTACATTAACTCGCGTCTCCCACCCCCAGAACAAATCTTCCTTTTGTGTATCACTATATATCACATAGAAACTGATAATTCAGATGGAAACATTGATTCTAGTTTAAAAATTCAAAATAACTGGCAGATAAGGCTAATTTATAATGACAGAAAGCAGATCAGTGGTTGCCCCAGCTTGGGGTGGGAAGTGGGGATTGACTAAAAGAGGCAGAAAGGAAAATTTGAGGTTAGTGAAAATATTCTACATTTTTGAAAAGATTTTATTTATTTTTACAGAGAGGGGAAGAGAAGGAGAGAGAGAAGGAGACATCAATTGGTTGCTTCTTGAATGCCCCCAGCCAGGGACCTGGCCTGCAACCCCAGGCATATGGCCTGACCTGGAATTGAGCTGGGGACCCTATGCTCTGTAGTTCATCCCACTGAGCCACGTGGGTCAGGGTTGAAATATTCAACATCTTGATTGGAATGGAGGTTGCATGTATGTGTGAATTTATCTGAAATCATTGAACTCTAATGTTAAAATCGGTGCATTTTAAGTAGGTTATACCTCAGTAAAATTTATTTAAAGAAATGACTATTTATGTCATCAAAATAAGTCATTTTACCTTTAAATTACTTGGCACCCATCTGTCATATTTCATATGCATTCTGTTTAATTTAACAATCATATACTGAGAATCTATTTTGTATAGTGTGTACCCTCACAAAGATGAACAAGACATGGCCCTTGGGCTCCAAAAAGGGTATAAACTAGTAAGGCAGCAATTAAAACTAGTCACAATAAAAGAACTTATAATGAGATAAATACTTACGTACAGACACATTTTCTCAGCTCTATATTGTGTTTTTCCATACCCATTCTAGCTTTTTTCAATTCCTGCAACAAGCTCTGAAAGTGGTTCCACAGTAGATAAGGGAAATGAGGAACAGAGATGGGCTGTGACTTGCTCAGAGTCACACAGCCTAAAAGAGTGGCTTTAATTCAAACCCAGGCTATTTACCCCCGTTTTGGTGCTCAATCACTTGCTATGTTCCTTCTACAGCTCACCCTCAGGGGGGTGCTGCAAAAATGAGAAGTCTACTTATTGCTATTCAGAGGGTCTGAAAGGTGATATAAAGGCCCTCAATCACACACACACACACACACACACACACACACACACACACAAAGATATGGATTTTATTCTGCCAATAATTGGTTTCTTTTTAGTAATTTTCTATTTAAAAAATACTTGGGCAGTGATTCAGTGAAAAAACTCTGGCAGGAGTCTGAATGAGGGATGTTAAGGAGACATCAAAGACAAGGAAGTCAGAATAGTCTAGGAAATAGACTAAAAATTCCTGAACAAGGGTAGGAATATTTGGTTGGGGAGATAGTGACAGATTATAGAAAGGATTAGATAAAGACTAATTAGATAAATTGATGTCAGGTTGCCTTACTGAGGTTGAGGGATCTGTTTGAGACAGAGTATGGGGGTTTTCTAGTTGTGTGAGTAGAAGATAGTCCAAGCCATTCACAAAAATACAAAAGATAGATCAGGAGTAGCTTTGAAGGGAAAAAAAAGTACATGCAATGTGGTGAGCCCAGTTTTAAAATATAAAGTTCAAGGTGTTCTAATGTCTTGATTCCATTTATATGAAGCTAATTTTTCCAAAGTCAGTGAATATAGTCATTATTCAAAGGGCACAAATATAGAAATATATTATTTTCTGAGACTCTTATAAACTGAAACATAATATATATAGTTAAAATCTTTATTTTAAAATAGTTTACACATCAGTCACAAATTCTTACTTTTTATTTTTATCCTAAAGATAACAGAAATAGCAAATTAAAAACTATCATTCTCTATAATTGCTTAAAAATTAGCAGTTAAAATTCAATTTTTAAAAAAAATTTTTCAAACTTCTTTTTTGCATGTGTGTAATTAAAAAGCAAAAGTTTATCCATATATTTTTATCAGGAAAATACAAGATAGCACATAGGCCAGCCTGAGTGTTTAGTGATGCTTATAGTTTTAAGACTGTTCTTTGTAAAAATTAAAATTAATTAAAAACATACTACTTAAAGAAGATTACCTTTTCAGGAATAGGTATTAAGATAATAACTGTATAATTCTGGATCCTTGTTTTTATATAAAAGAAACATTTAAAATTTTCAATTTCTATAAATATTTCAATTACAAGAGAAAAAATTCATATTTTTAAAAAGTATTCTCAAAGATTATACAATGGCAAGTTTAAACTTTATTAATAATATTCACTTGTGTAGCACTGAGGCATGTCTGACTTTTGAATTTTAAACTAAGTATAACACATGGAAATGAAGTCATTTTAAGCTGCCCACCCAATTGTAGTTTTAATACACTATTATGAACACTCATCCTGCAAGGTGAGATCTTATCAAATCCATGATCAGTTCTATCTTGGGTCTGTCTATCAGATGCCAAATTAGACAGGATTTCCTTGAAAGGTTCCTGGTCAGGTTGTAGTTTGTTATGGAAAGTATTCACTGTGAAGACCTGGGTTTAGCTCTAGTTTCAATTTTGAATAATTATTTACCCCCTTTGGGGACCATTTCACCTGCTGTAACATGAAAATAACAGTTCCTGCCTGCCTTGCTACGTCACAATGGACTGCTAAATTTATTAATATACATGTCAGATCTATGGGGTATTCCATCTCTTTCATATTCAACACATCTAAGTATAAAAACCTAGTGTTCAACTGATATCAAGACGGTCTCCAAAGATGTATTTAGGTTTCCGCAGAGTCAGGCACAGAAACACATGCTGTGTCTGGACCCTCTTCAGGACCTCTGCCTGTGAGAGTGTCTAATTCCTCACCTGAGAGCTAATAATAGGATTGGATTCTAAGTGTTCAGCCAGCTCTGTGACTATACCTCTAAATAGTGTTATTACTCACAAGTCATTTGACTTTTCTCAACTTATGGAAATTTTGTCACCAATTTTTTATTTTAAGTAGTTACTCATTCTTCACGTTATCCCTATTCCTATAGTACCATCAGTAGTATTACAATTTTCCACCACAGGTCAATTTTAGTCAAACATAGCATTAATGATATATATTTGGCAAAAGAGCTGTAAAAAGGTAAAAAAGGGAAGATGAGTTATATGTAAGGTTGAGAAAAGTAATCTGATTGCAACATATTCAATGTTGAAATCAAAGAAAACTTTACTAAAGTAGATCAGCCCCCCTGCCCCATGTAAGGGAATTGCCACCAATGGGTAAAGACCGAGATTGCACAAGGGAATTGTTTGTTAATGGTTCTTAACCTGGTCTCTTAGAACTTGAAGGTAATAAACAAAAACCAAAAACCATAGCTTTTATTTTTCCTCCATGACACCTCACTGCGCCTCCAAAATGATAGGCATGTAATAAAAATTTATCAAAAATTTACATTTTTATTTTTCGAGATTGACAGGATATTGTATGTCTCAGAGGTCTTTTAAGTTTCAAGATACATTTTATGTTAATAGGATATAGAAAATATCAGTCTTTTACACTTAATTTTTTAAAAAGCCAGATGAACACTTAGTTATTTGTAAAGTCATTCATGGTTCCCAGACAGTGGAGAATTGTTTTTTTTCTTTTTCTTCTCAGTGTTAAGCTTATGATTTTAAATAATCAGTATAAAGATGCTATAATTTTCAAACCAGCTATCTAGAAATTTGTGTCTCTCTAATCTATATTGAGCCTATTTAATGTCTGTCAACATCTACATCAAATATAAAGTTTTTTTTACTGCTGATGCTATCACAGATGTCCCCCATTTTCCCTCCCCTTGCCCCCAGCCACCCAGCCCCCATCTGCCCCCAGCCTTCCCCACATCATTGTCTGTGTCTCTGGTCTATGCATATATGCACATATCTGAGATCTGTCAGTCTGTACCCTGTATCTAAGCCTCTGGTCCTATCTTGTTCCTCAGTTTATTTTTTTTAAATTAGATTCCACATATAAGTGAGATCTATGGTATTTGTCTTTCTGACTGGCTTATTTTGCTTAGCATATCCACTTAGGCACTTTTAACAACTTCATACTCTAATTTGAAAAAAAACACTTAGTATTTAAAAATCACTTAAAACTGAGCTTCCAGAACTATGAAAAGAAACACTTGACTAGCTTTTATGCTACTAATTTTTTAGTGAAAGGGGGTGCAAAAAGCATCTGGTAATTTTCAAAGTTAACTGGAAGGGAGGAGATTTGAGTTCCTTCCCAGTCTGGTCATTCAATTGTTTTGCGACCTTAAGGAAACTCACTAAATCTTTCCATTATTCTGTTTAACATTTGCAAATGTTCCTGTTTTATATGATTTTTTTCTCTCCTATGGATTCTGTTCATAAAGATTT